TATTTAAGTGTGAGGGTGTGATAGCACCTAAATATATAGAGTTTTTACATGCTAAAAGTGGTACTAATTTTTAAATTTTGGATGATTTTTGGTGATTTCATGTTGTTTTCATGATTTTAGGTTTTCAAGCTCATGAATACCATTTTTGCCCAATTTTGTAGCTTATAACTGAACCACCTTGTCCTACATTCATAGAGTTTAAATTACACAAGGACTCTCCCATGATGTAATTGGTTAGACCACTTCCAGGAAAGGTTGCATGCTATTCCAAGCTTAATTGGGCTCCATCATATTTGGTCAAAGAGAAGTTTGAACCAAGCATGATTCCTTTGCTTAGCCATGAAGCAATTATATGGCATAAGGACTTTATCCATTCGGCCATGCAAAGGGGAAGATTAATTTGTTAAAGTAAGGACTCTACAAGCACCATCTTATTCGGCCAAGACTCCATCCAATAATGGTCATGCAATTTTCACCACAATAAAGGCTAGGTGCATTTGCCTAAGAAGTATTTGAAGCTCACCTTAAGACTTGTTGCCAACTTTGAAGATTTTGACTTGAAGTAGGATTTTATTCATTTGACTTTCAAGAAGAAATCAACTGACTCTTGAATTTCCTAGCCTTAGCCAAATCTAAGAGGAGAGCTTTGTCAAGATTTGATCAAGATTCAATCAAAAGGCCAAGATTGGACTTCCAAAACTCTATTCAACCAAGGCAACTCAAGCTTGAGAAGACCACATTTGGCTAACCTCCAAAAAGATTAGGATATGCACTCATCCATTAGAATTTGAATTTGAAAATACATCTTGTAAACTCTACCATTTGGCCAAACCCTTCATTATAAACAGGGAGACCATTCACCCCTTTCCGTCATCCCATTCCTTATTTCTCTCTTTTAGTTCTTAGTTCTTATTTCTTTTAGTTGTTTAGTTGAGTTATTGGCTTAAGTAACAAATTTGCCAATAACAAAACTTTTGTTTCTTTAAATTCTTTTGGTACAATTCAAAAAGTATTTTTCCTAAGATCTTTTCTTTTATTGCTTTAACTTTTGAATCTTATTTTCACAATCTTGATTTTGTCAAAGTTTTCTTTTTCTTTCAAAATTTATTCAAGCATTATTTTAATCTTTACAAAGATTCGATTACTATTTTCTTTATTGTTTTTTAAGTTCTTTTCAATCAATCTTTATTCCAAGACTACAAGCAATTGGCATTATCAAGTTTTCTTCATTTTTCAAGCTTTTAATTATTGTTTTCTTAGATCTAGTCTTTGGCGATCTTCTTTTGCTTTCTAAGTGATAGTTGGTGATGTCAAGATCTTTGCCAAAACATCGTTTTTAATCTTTACTTTTCTTTGCAACCAAACCTTGAATTCCAATTGTTTAGATATAAGATTTTTGGGTTTCACCATTGATACTTGAAGAGCAACCCAAAATTGCATTCTATAATCTGTGAGGAGATGGTACTAGAATGCATCTTTTTATTACTTGATCTGTGCACTTGCAGGCTATACTAAAAGCAATAATCATTCTTCTTTACATTTTTTGCACATTTTCCATTCAAGCACTTTAAATTACAAGCAATTTATAGTTTTCCTAATGTTATTTACAAATTTACTTGCATTTAATTCAATTTCTTGCAATTTCAAGTTGTTCTTCAATGTTATTTAGCTGTTTTCCTTTACTACACTATTACAGTTTTTTCATTTTGTCATTGAGTTCTTGATGTGATTTTTTGTTGAATTTTTTACTACACTATCTACATTCGTAGTTCTTTCATTTCTAGGAAGTTATAGCATTAGATTTTGATTACTACATTTTACAATGCCTATATATGCATAGATCATAATCAAGTAATAAGGTGAGTGAGTAGAGTATCATTTCCACAAAAATTACAAAATTGAATTTGTTGGGTAGATTGAAGTATCAAGGTGATCAACTATGTGCTTTATATCTAAACGATTGAAAAGAATGATTGTGATTGCAAAAGTAATATGAAAGAAAATAGAGCATGAAAACTGAATCTTGTATAGGCCTAAACTCAGTTCATCCAATTGTCATTTGGAAAGTCTTAAGTGTGGCCGAATGGAACTAGATCTCAAGTGAAAGATAGTTTTAGGGAAATTTTGAAGGTTGGCCAAAAGTAAGTATTACATAAAAGAAAGATTTGAAACAAGATTGCATTAAACAGAAATTTAGAATGAAAATAGATTTATTGTCGAAACTTGTAAAGAAAAAAAAATTACTTAAAGCTATAACAACTTGTAAATCGAAAGTAAAGAAAGCTTTAAAAGAAAGAATGCTTGTATTGAAATAAAGAAATAATTTAGAAAACAAGAGTTTTGTAATGGCTAATCTGTCACCTTAGCCTAATACAATGAAAACTTAAAAAAGAAACCTAAAATACTAAAGAAAAGAAAAGAACGGTAAATATGTGAAGAATGGGATGTGAGGAATCAAATACAAGAGTGAACCGCCCTATTTATACCAGTAGGTTTAACTATGGGGCAAAAGATAAAGATTACAAGTTAATTGCCATCAAAACTGTAATGGATTAGCGTTATCTTAATCTTATAGTGTTTGGTCAAATATTGTTTCTTCAATCTTGGAGAGTTTTGGCTGAATATGTGATGCAATCTTGGAAGTTCATCATTAGTGGCATACTTGATCTTGTAATTTTGAGATACATTCAGTTAATATTGAATTATTAAGACCATGACATTGCTTTTCATCCAAACTCTTAAGAATAAATCCTAAAAAAAAGTCTTCTTCAAATATAACTCTTTCAATGGTGATCAAAGAGTCATTGTGTAATTAAAACTCTTCTTGGTCAAATGCACTGAGGAGTCCTTCTTTGAATATAAGTCTTCAAATATCATATGCATGTAAAAGTCCTCTTGGAATTAGGATAATTGAATGCTTGTAGGAGTTTGAGTGCCATAAGGACTCCTTAAATCTAGTTAATTTAGGAAATCTACTTCAATTAGAATTCGACTAAAATGATCCTTGCATGGCCAAATATTACAAAGATTAGGCTTGTCCTAATCTTGCATGAACTTTATGTCCCAAGCATAAAATCCTAAAGATCAAGAAAACAAACATTAAAGGTACCAAGTTCACTCAGATTTCAAAATTTGTGCATCAAAAAGAACTATATAATTTAGTGCTATCACACTCTCCACACTTAAATCTTTGCTTGTCCTCAAGCAAAATTCTCAAATTAATAATACAAATAATAAAAATAAATGCACAAAAAGGTAAAATTACACAAATTATCAATCATGCATTATAGCATAATACAAAGATAGTTATAAACAAAGCTACAAAAGAAACTTATTCAAAAAGTAAGCTATTAGTATCATACAACTTTTATGTATGTGAAGTTAGTATATCCTTAATCCATACACACAATCTAAGTAAAAAGAATGAAACATATAGCATCACATATCCAATTAAAGATATAATACACTTCATATGTTTATGCTCATTTTCCTTCTCCACTAATTTTAGACTTGTATACTTGATTCAAGATCAAAAGGTCTTCTAGGCTTGTAATGAAAGGCTTGGGTCAAGGAAGGAAAAAGGAAATTTAGGTTCATAAACCCTTTTGCTTACTTACTTGATTTCTTGGACTCATATTTGAAAAATTGAGAACTTTGAAACTTTTTCAAGACTTGAGGCAACTTTATTTTGGGTTTTTTTTTTTTTTTTCATTTTCAACTTTATCCATTTGGCTTTATTTTCTCATTTGTTGAGCTCTCTTCCAATTCCTTCTACCTCCCTTCCTCCCAAATGTAAAGAATTGTTCTCATAATTTGTCCAAATATGCATAAGCAATATTAGGTTAGGTAAAAACAAGAAAAAGGGATAATTCAAAGAAAAGGCTTGGGCTTATCAATGTGACTAAATAAAACAAAGAAAATGATAAATAAAAAAGCTCAAAATCAAAGGTACTAGGGATGCTTCATTAATGGTGGCCTTGAAAAGGCTTAAACTATCTAAAGAATGCCTAGATCGTATTTTGAATCAAATACAATTTAGAATTTCACCTCGAAGGTTGAGTAGATAAATTTTAAAGTCATACCCTTACCTTAAAATTTCTATGCAACATAATATCTTACATAACTTTTTACCAAGATCAATGCCTATCATAAATCAAGACTAAAAACATAGACATAGAAAATCATACTCTAAAGAAAAAAATGCTTAAGAAATCATTCCATTGCTTCACAACACTTATAATTCTCCTCATATCATACTCAAGTCAATCTTGCCTAATTCATGAAAATTCAAACAAGTTAGCATTATCACGATTATAGTATGCTAATTTGGTTTGAAAACAAAGCAATTAGGGAAAATTCTGAAAACAATTTTTAATCCAAAAACATTTATTTTCTTCCACACTTACATTGAGCAATATTTCCAAATAAAACATCATAGCATTAAGGTAAAAGAAATCACTCCCTTATATTTGCTTTCCTTTAAGGCATAATCTTAAATTCTTCATAAAGCATCTCTTTGCATCTTTTCATCTCTAGAAAAACACTTTAAAAATAAAAAGAATCAAAGCATACCTATCCTAAGAAAATAAACAAAAACAAAGAAAATAAATGTATGTAAATAAACAATTAATGTAAAACTTGAGTTGCTTTCCAAGCAGTGCTAGTTTTGATCAAGCTTGACCATACCTAAATGTTTGATTTCATCAAGTGCATTACCTCTTCAACTTGTTTTGTGATTTTGCCTTGATAGATTTTTAATCTATGTCATCCATTAACCTTGAAAGGCCTCTTTTCTTCCTTATCCATAATTTTTATGGCTCCATATGGGAAACTTTAGCCACAATCAAAGGTTCTCTCCATCTTGATTTAAGTTTACCTAAAAATAGTCTTAGTTGTGAACAAAATGCAACACTTGTTGACCAGTCTCAAAATGCTTTTCCATGATCTTTTATCATGCCATCTTTTCATTTTTCCTTATATAGCTTGGCATTTTCATATGCTCACAACCTAAATTCATACAACTCATTTAACCGTAGCAACCTCTTTTCACCTACCAAATCCTTATCACGGTTAAGGTTCTTGATGGCCCAATACACCTTGTGTTCTAATTCCACTAGTAGGTGGTAGGCCTTTCCATAAACTAGTTGGTATGGAAACATTCCTAGAGGGGTTTTGAAGGTTGTCCTATATGCCCATATGGAATCATCCAATTTTATAACCCAATCTTTTTTTGATGGGTTTACAATCTTCTCAAGGATTCTTTTGATCTCCCTATTAGAAACTTTAACCTATCCACTAGCTTGAGGATGAAATGTTGTAGCTATCCTATAGGTTACTCTATATTTAGATAACAATTTTTTAAAAATTTTGTTACAAAAATGGGTGCTTTCATCACTTATAATAGCCCTAGGTGTAGCAAACCTTGAAAAAATGTTTTTCTTTAAAAACTTGAGTACTACCTTGGCATCATTAAAAGGTGATGCTATGGCTTCAACCTATTTGGAAACATAATCAACTACTAGTAAATTATAAACATTCCCATAAAATGGCAGAAAGAGCCCTATAAAATCTATCCCCCAAACTTCAAAGATCTCAACTTTTAAAATACTATTCATTAGCATCTCATGTCACATAGTTAGATTCCACATCTTTTGACATCTATCACATTTGGCAAATCTATATGTATCTTTAAATAGAGAAGGCCAATAAAAACTCATTGCAATACCTTTGCCACCATTTTTTCTTGCCCATAGTGTCCCATATTTAGATGCATGGCATTGTTGTAGGATGCTCGCTATTTTTTCCTTTGGAACACATCTTCTCAAAACATGGTCTTAACATTGCTTAAACAAAAAAGGGTCATCCCACACATAATGTTTAACATCATGAAAGAATTTTTTTCTTTTGTTGATAATTGAAATTGTGTGCAAAGACATTACCCACAAAGTAGTTTACCAGATCATCATACCTTGATGGTTCTTGAATTGCAAAGAGTTGCTCATCTAGGAAAGATTCTTGAATAATCTTTTCATCAACTACTCTTATTTTTATTTTTGGTAAATGATTTGCCATATGATTATCACAACATTTTTTCTCTCTAACCTCCAAATCAAATTCTTGTAAAAGAAAACTCATCTAACCAATCATAATTTCACATCTTTCTTTATGATCAAGTACTTGACAGCCATATGATCTATATATACAATCACTTTTGTTCTTATCAAGTAATGTTTGAATTTTTCCAAGGCAAAAACTATAGTAAGCCATTCCTTTTCTATTGTGGCATAGTTGAGTTGTGCATCATTAAAGGTTTTGCTTGCATAATAAATGGGGTGAAATATCTTGTCTTTCTATTGCCTAAATATAGCTTCCACTGTAAAACTATTTTCATCATACATAAGTTCAAATGATTCCAATTAGGCTATAAAAAGATAGGTGCAGTGATTAAATTGTCCTTTAGAGTTTGAAATGCCAATGCACATTTTTGGTTGAACTCAAACTTAGCATCTTTTTCCAATAGCTTTCAAAATGGCTTAGAAATCTTAAAAAATCATGGATGAATCTCCAATAGAAATCAACATGCCCCAAAAAACTCCTAATCTTTTTTACTGAAGTGGGCAAAGGTAATCTCACAATGACTTCAATGTTTGTTAGATCAACTTTGATCTCTTTTACAGATACATTGTGTCAACTATGATTCCTTCTTGAACCATTAAGTGGTACTTCTTCCAATTAAGCACCAAATTGGTTTCCTCACATCTTTAGAGTACCTTAGATTGGTTTGCAAGGCATAAGTCATAATTATCACCAAAAATAAAAAAAAATCCATAAATACCTCAAAAATATCTTCCACCATGTCTAAAAAACTTGCCATCATACATTGTTGGAATATGGCTGAAGCATTGCAAAGACCAAAAGGCATCCTTCTGAAAGCAAATGTGCCATATGGAAAACTGAAAGTGGTATTTTCCTAGTCTTATATAGCTATGGCTATTTGATTGTACCTTGAATATCCATTTACTAAATAATAATATTCATGACCAGCCAATCTATCATGCATTTGGTCTACAAATGGTAATGGGAAATGATCCATGTGAATTGTTTTATTCAATTTCCTATAATCCAAGTAGACTTTTCAATTAGTAATAGTTTGAGTTAGGATCAACTCATTATGCTTGTTGGTGACCATTATGATTCCACCCTTCTTCGGTACACATTAAACTGGACTTACCCATGAACTATTGGACATAGGATAAATGATTCTAGTATCTAATCACATGATAATCTCTTTTTTTACCACTTTCTTCATGGCAAAGTTCAAATGCATTTGTTGCTCAATTGTTGCTTTATGGTCATCGGAGATACCTAATTTTGTCTAAATAGAATCCAACCAATAGTGAGGTTCTTAGAATATAACATTTCTTTAATTTTGATAAGTTTTCAAAATCAAATTTGAGACTAATTTGACTCAAATGACTTAAAGTCAAACATGGTCAAACAAAGTCATGGCAAAATTAGCAAAGGCTACTTGCTAGTCACGTTTAAGTAGAAAAATGCAACAAAAAAAAACTCTCCCCATTAAATCTCATGTTCGACTTTCCTTTTCTGTCCACCTTAAATTTCCTATTTTTCAAGCCCTATCCTAGGTCTTTCTCAACCCATAAATGGTTTCTTAAGCCATGCAAACCAACAGCCATGCTTGACTGTTATTTTTCATTATGTTTCCACTTGTTGCTTGACTATAATTTGTTCCCTTTGCTCTCTCCTTCTTTGGTGATTCTCTTTGGTCAAATTTGCTTGATTTTTGGCTTGCTTTTTATCCTCATTTCAACTTTAAACTCAACTTGAAACTCCTCCAAATCAGCATGTACAGCTCCTCCTCTCAAGCAAGCCATCTTATGCAAGAAAGAAAAGCTCCACATGCCTTTGTTAGTGGCTCACAACTTGTGACTTCATGGTCATGGCTTGGCATTTTCTTCTTTTTCTTTTTCATGGCTCTATTTTCTCATGGAAATCAGCTCTCTTCATCTCCTAAGAGCCCTTAAATTGCCATTGCAAATTTCTCACCAGCTTCGACCATTGCTTGCATGATGACACTAGGTGCGAGCATGGTGTTTCAATTTTTTCTACACATGAAATTTGAAGAATTTAGGTGGACAATCAAGCAAAATTGAATCAAGTAAGTTAAAAATTAACCAATTAAGTATATGATAATTATAAAAAAATAGAATTATCAATTCCTCAGAGAAGGAAACAACAAGGTAAGCTCCCGCCTAAAGGGATGAGATGATTTGTTAGATTAAGGCATAGTCAATCTTAACCAAAACTAACGCTGCTTAGGAGGCAACCCAAGTTTTAGTTTAATGGTTTATGTTTTCTTTACTTTCATTTTTATTAGGACAATTATGTTTTATGTTTTTGTGTTTTAAGTTTGATTTTGTAGGGATGAAATGAAAGTAAGGCTAATGCCTCATACAAAAAAAAGAATTGATCTTAAAGCAAGAATTTGGGGAGTATTTCTTTTCCCTTGTACTTATGTGATTCATGTTGATATATACTATTTGAAGTAAGTGTAAGAAGGGAAAGAATTCTTTTTGAACTTAAAATGATATTCAAAATTCTTGACCCACTTTTTGCTTTCAAACTGAATTGACATAATAAAATTATTGTTGCACTCAGTTAATTTTTGCATAAATTTTTCAAAAATTGACTTGGGTATAATATGAGGTTAGTTATGAGTATGGTGAAGTAATGAAATGTTATGATTCTTGTGAAAATTTGTAAGAAGTTAAATCGCATGAAAGTTTGAGGATATGAATATTACTCCGAAATTCATCGACTCAACCTTCAAGATGAAATCCTAGACATTTTTTAGACTATTTAAGGCTTTTTCAAGCCCACCATAATGATGCATCCCTAGTATCCTTTATTTGAAGCCTTATTTATATATCATATTCTTTGTTTATTTTACCCGCATAATAAGCCAAAAGTCTTTTCTTTTGATTGTTATCCTTTTTTATTATTTTACCCTAACCCAAGATGTTTACTCATATTATGGACATTTTTTATTTGAGAGGAAGGAAGGCGCAAGAAATGAAAGAAAATAAACACCAACAAGTAAGGCAAAGCCTAATGAAGCCAAAAATGGCTAAGTATTCTTTTATATTATAAAAAACCATGGAAATAAAAAGTGATGACTCAAAGTCGTGAAAGTTCAAAAGTTCTCAATGTTTAAATCAAAGTCCAAGAAATTCAAAAAGGTAATCTTAGGGCTTTTAGCCTAAATTTTCTTTTTCCTACTTTGACCCGAGCTTTACATTACAAGCTTTAAAGACCTTTTAATCTTGAGTCAAGTATGCAAGTCTAATAATAGTGGAGAGGAAAAAGAAAAGTGAACATATGAAGTTTATTCTGTCTTTAAATTAAAATGTAATGAGATGTTTTGCATTCTTTTTACTTGAGTTATATGTATGAATTAAAAATTGAGTAATTTCATAAATATGGAGAACATAAGATATTGAGAGCTTTTTTTTAAGAAATTTCTTATGGATTTTTGTTTGAAGTTAACTTTGTATTATGCGATAGTGCATGAAGGGAAGTTAATGTAATTTTTGACTTTGTGAGCATGTATCATGATTCTTAGTTTTGTTAATTTGAATATTTTACTTGAGGACAAGCAAAAATTTAAGTGTAAGGATATTAAAGCGCCTAAAAATATAGTGATTTTGCTAAAAATGGGTACTAAATTAGAAATTTTTGGTTGAATTTGGTACTTTTAATATTATTTCCATGATTTTCAAAGTGTAAGGCCCATGAATGTGAAATCATGCAACCCATGCAATCCATATATGTAAGATGAGTATCGACCATGCAAGGAAGATAGTAGTCAAACCTTCTTTGACCAATTCCACATATCCATGCAACCAATGAGTTTACATGCACAAAGACACTTCCATATCACTCACATTCAGTTATAACAGATTTAAGGAGATTTGAAGTGTTTAACTTGCACAAAAACTTATCCATTTGGCCAATTCAAATGCATAAAGTGCTAGTGCACATTTAATGAAGTTTTCCAAGCACAAGGACTCTCATCTCACATATCCATTTGGCTATGTCAAATTCCAAAAAGACTTCAAGCAATTTCAAGTTCACATGGACACTACCCTATTCGACCAAAGATGTTTTCATGCGATGAGGACTCTTTTGTGCATCTTTTGAAGAATTGTGAAAAAACAAAACTCTAGATATTTGAATTAAAGGAATATGGATTGAATTCAATCACCTTATCTTGTAATCCTACCTTAGCCAAATCAAGGATGAAGATTGAAGCATGATGGATTTCAAGATCAATCAACAACCAAAAGGAACTACATAAAAGCATATTCGGCCAAGCATCTTCAATAACTAAGACTCCTATTCGATCAAAGCTCTTTGGAAATCAAGATAAACTTCATCCTTTAGCATTTAGATAAAAGTCAAACTCTTGTAATCTTTACCCCTTAGGGCCAAACCTATGCTTATAAATAGGCAAAGGCATTTCACTATTCATTATTCCATTCTTCTTGTTTTTCTCCCTTTTCTTTTCTTAGTCTTTTCTTTAGCTTTTCTTTAGTTTTAGTTATTGGTTTAAATGATAAATTTGCCAATAACAAAGTGATTTTCTAAATATTTTCTTTAATACAATTGTTTTCTTAAATTCCTCCTTTAATACAAGTATTCTTTCTATTCAAGATCTAGTTTTAAACTCTTTTCTCTTTT